TCCTTTTTATTTAAAACAAAGGCTTAAGGTTTTTTGAAGATGCTTTTTACCAGGTTACAGAAGCTCCTTTCTATTCCTGCTTTGCCAAGAGTATTTTTCTTTCTCTCTCTTTCTTTTATCAGGAATGGATGTTGAATTGCTGCTGTGTCTTTATGCATCTCTAACTGTGGCTAATCCCTTCTTCTTTTTTTTTTTTTAAAGATTTTATTGGGGAATTAGGGAGGGGAATAGCGTTGGGGAGTCAGGAGAAGGGGAACAGGACAAGTTGCTGTCGTTTTGTTCTTCAGTCTAGTTGTGGAGGACGTTGCTTCACTAGCCTATGTTGGTATTATCATTGTACGCTTCCAGGGTGAGACAGATCGGTTGCCGGCCTCTGGACAGCTGCTCACGGCGGCTCTTGACAGCTCACACCGGCTGCCAGCCACTCACGCTGGCTGCCAGCCACACATGGTAGCTTATGGCAGCCCACTGCAGCAGGGGCTGCAGCCTAGCCGTCGCTGGCGACTAACAGCAGCCCAGCTCCAGGTCGAGCTGTTGTTCACCATCTTAGCTGTAGAGGGCAGTGTCACTGGCCCCCATGTGGGATCTGAACTGGGGCCCTGCTGCTCAGAGGTGGCGTCTCAAGCCAACTCTTAACCAACGCACCACTCGGCCGGCCCGCTAATCCCTTCTTGACAGAGAGACCAGGCCTTGGGCATTGCAACAGGATCCAGCTAGAATTGAATAACACCGTTTACATTATGTTGATTTTACACTGGCTTCTGTTTATAGCAAATGATCCTAGTTTTCTTTGATAGTAGGATGCAAAGTTCTCTTCTTAAATACATCTATTTAAGTTAAAGTTAATTCAAAGTCCCTGTTCCATATAGAATGGGTTAGGTCGACTGTGGATGTGACAATCGAGAAGATACAATCTGAGGATGGAGGTGTGAGCTACATGATACAGTGAACACTGTGTATTGAGTTGATTCATATGTGCTGTCAAGGCACAGTGCTCGAAGTCACGCTGCCTGAGTTTGCATCCTGGCTGACTGTTGCCGCCTCAGTTTCCTTATCTGTAAAATAAGTGTAATAATAGAACTTACCTTACCTTCGATATGGAGAGAGGGAGAAAAAGACAGAGAGAGAGAGAGAGAGAGAGAGAGAGAGAGAGAGAGAGAGAGAGAGACTCATAGAGAGTAGAATGGTGGTTACCAGGGGCTGGAGGTGTTGGCAGAATTGAGAGATGTTGGTCAAAGGGTACAAACTTGCAGTTATGGAGGATGAATGAGTCTAAGATCTCATGTCCAGCATGATGACTGTCCTTAATAATACTATTGAACACTGGAAACATGGTAAGAGAGTAGATTTCAGGGCCATTCATCACACATGAAACCATGGTGACTGCGTGAGAAGATGATGTGTGAATCAGCATGACTGTAGTCATCATTTCACTACGAACATCATGAATATTTAATCATCATCTTGTATACTTTGAATATATACAATTTTTATTTAAAAATATATACAATTAAAAGAGAGCGTGCTGGGGAATGAGCACATGACGGGCTCTCATGCAAAGCAATGAGAGGCTATGGGCAAGCAAGTCGTCTCTAGACACAGCACCCTGGAGTTAAATTTCAGCTCTTGCACAATTTTCTCTTGCTGTTAATAATCATAGGCAGCTGCCCGCCCCTCTCTTCTCTCTTCCTTATTGGGAAAATGGACATTAAAAACTCACAGGGTTGTCATGAAAACAAAATAAATCTGAGTGTCCCACGACGTGCAGTAAACATCCAAAAAAATGCAGATATTCTTATTGCAGAATCACAGAGCAGGGGTTAGCAAGTACCTAGGAATCACCTAGAAAGCTTGTTAAAAATGCACATTTCCAGGCCTCATCGCCACCCGTCCATTCAACAAATGTTTACTGAGGCCCTGCTACACTGTTCTAGGTGCTAGATGTCCACCAAGGAACAGAACCATGGCCCTGCCCTCATACAACTGACATTTTATTTGGAGGAGATGAACAATAAAGAAAACCAATGAAGCACAGTAGAGGGGATAGAAAATGCCAGAGTGGGGGGCGGGGTTGCAATTTTAAACAGGGTGAGCAGAAGGGGCCTCATTGAGAAGGTGACCTTTGAGCAAAACCCCAAAGAAGGTGGTACGGAACCTTGTGTACCTTAGGGCATCTGAGTGTGCCAGGGCCACCATGACAATGCACCACAGGCGGGGGCTTAAACAATAGAAATTGATTCTCTCCTAGTTCTGGAGACTGGAAATCTAAGATCAAGGTGTCAGGAGGTTTGGTTTCTCCTGAGGCCCTTTTTCTTGGCTTGTAGATGCCGTCTTCACCTTATGTCCTCACATGATCTTCCCTCTGTGTGTGCCTGTGCCCTAATTTCTCCTTCTTATAAGAACTCCAGTTATATTGGATTAGAGCCAACCCTGATGGCTTCATTTTAACTTAATTGCCTCTTTAAAAGCCCCATCTCCAAATACAGTCACATTCTGATGTCCCGGGGGTTAGAACTTCAACATATGAATTTTGTGGGGGACACAATTCAGTCATAACATGGGAAAAGTACATTCCAAGAAGAGGGAATAGCTAGTGCAAAGGCCCTGGGGCATGACTGTGCCTGATGTGTTGGAGGAACAGCAAGGAGGCCCATGTGTCTGGAGCACAGTGAGCGACGGGGAGAGATAAGAGGTGAGGGCAAGGCAGGGATGGGGGCAGGTTGTGCAGGGCTTTGTGGACCACAGGGAGCACTTGGGCTTTTACTCAGGGGAAGGTGGGTGCCATGGAGGGCTGTGGGCAGAGGAGGGACTGGACCTGACTCAGTGTCCACAGACTGCGTAGATATGAGGAGAAGGACCTGGAAGATGAAATTTTTTTATTGAGAAATAATCCATATACCATAAAATTCACCATTTAAAAGTGTGCAATTAGTTTTTAATAGTATATTCACAAAATTGTGTAATCATCACCACTGTCTAATTCCAGAACATTTTCATCACCCCCTAAAGAAACCCCATGCCCATTTGCTGTTACTCCCCATTCTCCCCTCTCCCCAGACCCTGGCAACCAGTAATCCACTTCCTGTCTCTATAGAATTGCCTCTTCTGGACATTTCATATGGATGTCGTCATACAATATGTGACCTTTTGTACCTGGCTTCTTTCAGTAAGCATAGTGTTTTTGAGGGCTATCCACTTTGTAGTGTGTATTATAATAGAACGTCACCCCGTTTTATGGCTTAACATCCTATTGTATGAGTATACCTTATTTTGTTTATCCATTTTTCAGTGGATGGACATAGAGACAGAATCCATAGAGACAGAAAGCAGACTAGTGGTTGCCAGGGAGAAGGCAGGAGAGTCAGGAATGGAGGGTGACTGTTTAGTGGGTACAGGGTTTCCTTTTGGGGTGATAAAAATATCTTAGAACTAGGTGGGGGGATGGCTGCACAACACTGTGAATGAAATAAATGCTGCTGAAGTGAGCATTACTTTAACATGGTTAATGGTTAAAATTTTGTATTGTGGTCAAATATACACAATATTTTATATAAATAAAATTATATAAATATATATATTTATAAATATAAACAAAAATTTACATAAATGAATAACAAAATTATACTTTTCTGTCTCCATTTATATTAAGCATGTGATTTAATGATTATATATGAATAGTTTTTAAATTTTGCTCCTTAATGAATAGACTGGATGTTTGCATATTAATGCATTTTATTTGGTAATCGCAGCCTGAAATGCATGTAAAATTTTGTTTCAAGTTGGCCAAGTTACTTGACAGTGTTTTCTACATCCTACTGATTTTTTATATACTTGTAGTGTAAGTTATGGAGAGAGAAATGTGGACATCTCCAGCTATAATTGTGGATTTCTTGCAGTTATTTTGGTGTTTCCTTGATGTATTTTGATGTTATGTTAAAAGATTATAAACAATTAGGATTGTAATGTCCTTGTGACCAAATAACTTTTTTATTATTAGAAAATGATCATACTTATTTCTGGTAATATTTTTTTGCTCTGGAATCTACTTTTGATTAGTGCTCCATTGGTTTATAGTTTGTTTTTTTTCATTCTTTGACATTTAACCTATTTGTACTTTATAGTTGAAATGCATTCTTTCTGTGTAGCATATATAGTTGGGTCTTCTTTTTTCCAACCTGACTATCTCTGCTTTTGAACTGGAGTATTTAGAGCATTTATATTTGATATAAATATTAATGTAATAGGGTTTAAATCTATCATCCTGTTATTTATTTTCCATTTTTTGCATCTTTGAGTTTTTCCCTTTTTTGCCCTCTTTTGGAGAAAATATAACATCATTTTAACCATTTGTAAGTGTACAATTCAGTGGCATTAAGTACATTCACAATGTTATGTAAATATTACTTCTATATCCAAAATGTTTCCATCTTCTTAAACTGAAACTGTCCCTATTAAACACTAACTCCCCATGCTTGGGCCACCCAGCCTCTGGTAACCTCCATTCTATAATACTTTCTTTTTTTTTAGTTAAAATTTATTGGGGTGACAATGGTCAACAAAACTACACAGGTTTCAACATCCTACTTTCTGTCTCTATGGATTTGCCTATTCTAGAGCCCTCATATAAGTGGAATCATACAATATGTGTCCTTCTGTGTCTGGTCTATTTCACTTAAAATAATGTTTTCAAGGTTCATCCATGTTGTAGCATAAATCAAAATCTCATTCCTCTTTAATGGCTGAGTGATATTCCATTGTATGACTATACCACATTTTGTTATCGATAAATGGTTAACTTTATGTTATGTGAATTTTACCTCAATAAAAATATAAGGGGCAAGTACAGCTTGATCTTTAGCAGAAGAGGCTGTGGTTCAGTGAGAAGGGGGCTATGCCTTCTTGTTCCCCTTCTATGCCAGTCCCCAAGTCAGACTGCCTGGGGCTTGGCTTCTTCCGTGTCCTGATGGGTGTCCTGCCCTCATTTCTATCTCTCTTCACAGTTCCTGTGTCTTAAGAATATCCGCACCTTCTTGTCTACCTGCTGTGAGAAGTTTGGCCTCAAACGGAGTGAGCTCTTTGAGGCCTTTGACCTCTTTGATGTGCAGGATTTCGGAAAGGTGAGCTGGGGTTGAGCTGCATGGCACATAGAGCCCAAAGATTGGATTTCAATTCATTTCCGTGAACATCCACAATGGGCAAGCCAAGGGCTGTAGGGGTAGGACAGATGGGCCAGATCAGGCTGTACACCAGGCGCAAAGAGCCTAACTTAAGACACGCAGAACTGGGTTCAAGTCCCTGCGCCACCACTTGCTGTGTGACCTCAGGTATGTGGTCATGCCTTTCTGTGCCCTAGGGAATAATATAATTTCATCCTCTCTCAGTGGTTATGAGTATTAAATAGAACAGTGGGATCAAGTGTTGGGAGCTCAGTTAAGGGAATGCTGGCATGTTTATGTGGGGGGATGTGAAAGTAGAGAAAATCCTGAATTAGGCTCCCAGTGGGGTGGGGTCTAACCTCCAAGTCCAGCCTCAGCTGCTTGGAGTCCAAGGCTGTGTTCTGGTGTGTGGGTGGGTGAGGGGCTTGCTGAGCAAAACATGGCCCTTGTCATAGGTCATCTACACCCTGTCCGCTCTGTCCTGGACCCCGATTGCCCAGAACAAGGGGATCATGTGAGTAGCCATCGAGGCGACAGCTTTGGGCTGATCTGGACCCTATCCTCCCCTTCCTTGAAGCCCCCCTCCCACCTGGCCCCCAGGCCTGTGGCTCATACTATCCTGCTTTCCCCAGGCCCTTCCCCACTGAGGAGAGTGTGGGGGATGAAGACATCTACAGCGGCCTGTCTGACCAGATCGAGTGAGTGTCTGGGACCATGGCCCTGCTCTGGAGATCTGAGGGGGACATGGTGGTATCCTGGGGGTCTGAGAGGATGTGGCCTTGCCCTGGGGGTCTGAGGGGAACATGATCTTGCCCTTGGGATCTAAGGGGATATAACTTGGATCTGGGAGGGGTCTGAGAGGTCCCTGGTCTGGAGGCTCCAGTGGCCCTGTCTGACTCCGTGCCTCGCAGTGACACAGTGGAGGAGGATGAGGACCTGTACGACTGCGTGGAGAATGAGGAGGCTGAGGGTGACGAGATCTACGAGGACCTCATGCGCACGGAACCGGTGCCCATGCCGGTGTGTGGGGGGCAGAGAGCCGGGCCTAGGCGGGTGCATGGGTGAGGGGCAGCCCCAGGTCCCCCAACACTCTCCTCCCCACTCTCAGCCTAAGATGACAGAGTATGACAAGCGGTGCTGCTGCCTGCGAGAGATCCAGCAAACTGAGGAGAAATACACGGACACACTGGGCTCCATCCAACAGGTGAGACGCGCCCACTCAGCCCCTACCAGGCGCATGCGCGGGAGCATGGCTGGCAGGGCATCCACCTGCCCTGCCGCCTCTGGGGCCACGCTCAGAGACTCCACCTGTCCCAAGACGGCCTGGGACAGTTCCCTGTCCCCATTGCTTTGTGTGTCTTTGTCTCTCTTCATCTCCATTTTTCTGTCTTCCCCGTCCCGACTGCCTCTCATTGTCTTTCTCTCCATGTGTCTCTTTATCCCTGTCTATATCTTATCTTGTATCTTAGTCTCTGCCTGTCTCTGTAATTGTCTCTGACTTTCTATTTCCTTTCTTTCCTTTGGCCATTGCTTTTTCAACAGCTTTATTGAGATTTAATTAGTATACCATACAATTCACCCATTTAATGTATACAATTCACTGATCTTTGGTACATACATAAGGTTGTGCACCCATCACCACCATTTAACTTTAGAACGTTTCACCTTCCCCAGAGAAACCCCACACCTCTTATTCATCACCCCCTTAAGCCCCCATCCTCCCCCAACCCCTGGCAAACGCTAATCTACTTACTTTCTGTCTCTCTGGGTTTGTGTGCTCTGGACATTTCACATAAGTGGAATCACACACTGTGTGGCCTTGTGTGTCTGGCTTCTCTCACTGAGCACCGTGTGTCCAAGGTCCATCCACGTTGTGGCGAGTGTCAGTGCCTCCCTCCTTTTCATGGCTGAGTAATATTCCAGTGTGTGGATGGACCACATTGTGTGTATCCACTCATCCATTGATGGACACTTGGGTTGTTTCCATTTTTTTGGCTATTGTGAATAATGCTGCTATGAACAGTCATGTACAGGTTTTCGTGTGGACATTCTCCATCTGTGTCTCGCTTTTTCTGCCTGTCTTTGTTTCCTTGTCTCTGTTTTTCTCCACATCTCATTTTTTTTCTCTCCCAGTCTCTCTGTTTTTGTTTGCCTTTTGCCATCTCTGTCTCCTTGTCCCTGTCTCTCTGGGGCTGGGCTGAAGGGAACAGTCTCACTTTCCTCCATCCTCCTTCTGCCCCTCAGCACTTCATGAAGCCCCTGCAGCGGTTCCTCAAACCTGAAGACATAGAGATAATCTTTATCAACATCGAGGTGAGCTGGCCCAGTGGGGACCATCTGCTGACCCCACCTGCCCCTGGAGTGTGGGGGTTGGGAGTTAGGCAACATAGGGTGGGTGGGTGACCCTGCTCCTGAGTCCCGGGCTTCCACCCCAGCCCTCACCCCTCCCTCCAATTAGGACCTGCTTCGTGTGCACACTCACTTCCTAAAGGAGATGAAGGAAGCCCTGGTCACCCCCAGTGCGCCCAGCCTCTACCAGGTCTTCATCAAATACAAGGAGAGGTGAGACCCAGCTGGCCAGCCTCGACCCCTGAAGGTCACCCTGCTCTGCCTGGGCTGGGCATTTGGGAGGCCTTGCTCTCAGAGACTGCTGGACAGGGAGGGTTTTTTCTTCTTTGTTCATGGACAAGGGGGCTACCCATCTCTGGTTCAATCCCTAGCTTTGCCCTTCGTGAGCCGTGTGGCACTGGGAAGACACTTAACCTCTCTGTGCTTCTGCTTCAATATCTATAAAATCAATGTGGCACAGGAACGTACTTCCTAGGGTTGTGGTGAGGACTGAATAAATTGATGCTTAAGAAGCTTAACACAGGGCCTTGCATACAGTACATACTCAATAAGTGTTTGTTAAATGAATACTGGGCAGAGGTGATATGCCAAGTACTGAGTCTTTTGTGCATTATCTCATTAATGCTATATTAACCCCACATGGGAGATGCCATTTTCTAGGTAGGGAAACTGAGGCTCAATATCACCCAGCTGGGGAGAACTAGGCCAGGGGTAACATGCAGATCTGCCTCACCTTGGTGCCGGCAACTATTACCTGTCCGGTCAATGCCAGCTGTCCTCTTCCTGCAGGTTCCTCGTCTACGGTCGCTACTGCAGCCAAGTGGAGTCTGCCAGCAAGCACCTGGACCATGTGGCCAGCACCCGGGAGGATGTGCAGATGAAGCTAGAGGTGGGGCTGGGCCCCAGCTGGGGGGCTCTCCCACTTCTTCCCAGGCCCTGGGGACAGCAGGGAAGACACTGAGTTGGAAGTGGCATCACTTTCTGCTGTAGCCCAGCCAGGGGTCTGCCCATCAGAGGTTTTAGGAGCGAGGTACTGGAGCAGGAGGAAATGGACTGAAGCACTGAGCCATGACCACAGCTGAACCCCGACTCTGGCTGAGCCCTGATGCCAGGCTGAGGTCCTGACCCTAAACTGAACTCTGACTCCAAACTGAACCCCAGGCTGGGCTAAGCGCCAACCCTGGCTGTGCACCAAGTCTGGGCTGAGCTCCACATTCGTACTGAGCTCTGATCCTGGACTGGACTGAACTCCAACCTGGACCAGTGTGTCTAGTGAAAGCAGAGACAGGGATGATGAAAGACACGCAGATACAGGCAGGGATGATGAGGAAATATGTGCACTGTACATCCAGCTCCTTTATATGGTGGGGACCCTTCGGACCTGTCCTCCTCCCTGTCTCCTGCTCCACTCAGCTGGTGCAGTCCTGGGCCTCTACCCCAGGCAGCCTTCCAGCTGGGTCTTCAACCACCCCTCACCCCACCGCATTCTTCCTTCCTTATTTCCTCAGGGGAGATAGGATACTTCTGGATCTAGAAAAATCCATACCTGCCTCCACCTCATCTTACTTACCTGGTTCTCTGATTCCCCAGGAATGTTCTCAGCGAGCAAACAATGGGAGGTTCACTTTGAGGGACCTGCTGATGGTGCCCATGCAGCGGGTGCTCAAGTACCACCTACTTCTCCAGGTGCACAAATGGGGACTCCCTAGGTCAATCGATAATGGGCATGCCATATCTGCCTCCCTGTGCCATAGGAGTGGGGGTGGGGCTGGCTTCTGGGGCTGGGCTCTAGGATTCTCTGGGAGGGGGTCACTGGGGCCCAGCCTCCAGGGAAGCAGCAGGGGGAAGGAGGAGCTGGTGGTCCAGGCTTATTTGGAAGGTGCGCCCCCTCTCCCCACTCCCCGAGGAGAGGGCGGGCCCAGGTGATGTCTGTTTCTGTGGGTCATACAGGAGCTGGTGAAACACACTCAGGATGCAATGGAGAAGGAGAACCTGCGGCTGGCCCTGGATGCCATGAGAGTGAGTGGTCACACACAGAGATGACGGTCACACACAGGCATATACACATTCAAGTCAGTGCTGCGTGGGAACACTCAGGCACACGGTCACACCCAGGGGCAAGCTCTCCCAACAACACAGTGACACTTCTGTATGATGAGTGAATTATTCGCAGTATCCCTACTGGGAACAGGGGCATGCTGTGGACACCATCTGTATGCCTCCTGCCAGCCCTGGTGGGGGCTGACCCCTAATCTCAGCTAGGTAGGGGATTGGGCTAAGTGGGCAACCCAGGCTCACCCCTGCCCCACCTTCAGGATCTGGCACAGTGTGTGAACGAGGTCAAGCGGGACAACGAGACCCTGCGGCAGATCACCAACTTCCAGCTGTCCATAGAGAACCTGGTGAGGGGGTGGGACAGGGAGGGCAGGGGCGTGGCCATGTGGGAAGGGTGTTTGGTCTTTTCCTTAGTGGCTCCTTGCCAGCCCCACTGCCTGCTGCCTAGAACAAGTCTCTGGCTCATTTCGGCCGGCCTAAGATCGATGGGGAGCTCAAGATCACCTCCGTGGAGCGGCGCTCCAAGATGGACAGGTGGGTGGGATCTGGGTGGAGGCCGGTCCAGATTTCTAGATAAGCAGGTGGGCGGAGCCAACACAAATCTGGGGCGGAGCCTGAACAGGGGTGGGACCAGATTTCTGGATAGACTGTGGGTGGAGCCATCCAGACCAGGGGGGTGGAGCCTAGATGGAAAGGGTGGAGCCAGCATAGTTGTGTGGGTGGAGCCAAGACCGGTAGGTGACAAGGCCTGCCAAGAACATATGGGTGAGATCAGGATGGGCAGATGGGCGTGACCTAGTTGGCCACATTGGAGGAGAAATGCCGGGGTGCTAAATGGACAGCAAGGTGGGGCCAGGAATAGGGAAGGAATCAGAGCGCTGGTGGGGACTGCTGGAGGAGCCAGACAGAGGCACCTGACCCAGCTGCTCCTAGGTACGCCTTCCTCCTCGACAAAGCTCTGCTCATTTGTAAGCGCCGAGGGGACTCCTACGACCTCAAGGACTTTGTGAACCTGTACAGCTTCCAGATTCGAGATGACTCTTCCGGAGAGCGCGATAACAAGAAGGTGGGGTTCTGAGGGCAGAAGTGTGGATCCCATTGCTGGGGAGCCCCAGTGCTTGAGATACTCCACTTGGTCTTTGGAGTGTGTGTGTGTGTGTGTGTGTGTGTGTGTGTGTGTGTGTGTGTCTCAGATTAGAGTGTTTATATGTGTGTGTGTGTGATTTTAGATTTATGGGTGTGTATTTGGTTCTCCCTAGCAGCTCTTTACAAGGGTACATACATGGTTCTTCNCAGGTCAACCCTCTGCTTGACAGGCACCTGGTAATTCTTGTGTTTCTGTGATCATCAAGACATAAACTTCTTGGCTCCCAAGATTAGCAAACTCCTTAGGCTAGCAGTTCAGGCTTACTGCTTAGTTATTAGTTTTGTCCTTATATTTGGCCTCTGGGGATTTTCCCTTACTTTTTTGAGAGCTCAGCACTTTTTTTCTCCGCATTTCTGGGGTTTTCTGCAGTAGGGGGTAACTTTGGTTATCTAGTTCTCCATATTGGCAGAAGTGACTATCTCTTCCATGTGTTTACCATTCTGTGGTCTGACATATTGGTGGAAGTGTAGATCTCATCCTATCTCTTCTAGAACATTGCTTTCTTTACAAGGTCTCTTTGACTTCTCAACAACCTTCTGAGTCCAGAAAGATGATTCCTATTATCTTAGAAAGATATGAAGGCTTAGAGGAAGAGATGAAGGCTTAGAACAGCAAAGGCCACAGGGAAAGGATCCCGTTGGGGCAGAAGGAGACAGCTTCAGTCTTTGGGCTCCAGTGGTCTCCCCCTCCCTGAAGTAGCCAAGATTGCATCTTCCATGGTTGGGGGTATATCCTGGGGCTGAGATCTGACTGAGAATGGGCCTGGGTCCCCAGCCTTAGGGTCCAATGACCACTGGTCTATCTCTCACTGCATCCAGGTATAATGTTGAGGTCAAGCACATTAAAATCATGACAGCTGAAGGACTGTACCGGATTACGGAGAAGAAGGCTTTCCGGGGGCTGACGGTAAGGGCCAATCTCCCCCTAACTCCAGTGTCCCAGAATCTAGGCAGGACCCTCCCTGAAGCTTCACCTTGGGACTACCTCCCTCTTACCCACATTCAGAGCAACTCCTTCAAGGGCATTTTGGGTTAATTGGCCTTAAGCTCAATCCCCTAATGACCAATGCTGCTGCTGCTGCTGCTGATGATGATAATAACAAATAACAGTAGTGAGCATTTACAGAGCATTTATTGAGAGGCAGACATTTTACAGATAAACTTCATTTAATCCCCTCATCTCACTCTCTGAGTTTCTATTTCACAGATGGGTGACACTTAGGTTTAGGCCCCACCGAGCATCACAAAATAGCAGAATCCCTATTACTGTCGGACTTTAAGGCTTATTTCTGTTTAATCTGTTTAGTGATCATTTGAGAATTCAAATGCCTTTCTAATGGTTTTGCTTCTATTTGGTGCCTTGTAATTTTGGACTTTTAGACATTTTAAGTCTATTGGCCTAAGGCACATGGCTCTTACCCATTGTTTGTGGGTTCTTGAAATCAAGAAAATGCACAATCTTGCACATATCTGCATTTGTTTTGGGCAGGGGGTGGGGGTCGGGGGGGGCGGTGTGTGTGTCTCAGATTTTACTTGATCCTCACAGGGTTCCTTAACTCCCCCAGAGGTTAGGGACTGTTTAGTCATTTCATAAAGATTTTTCTCCCCCAAACTTTTTATTCTGAAAATTTTCTACCCCAACATTTATTATTTCTGAAGAAATTCTGAAAAGTTACTGGAACAGTATAATGAACATTTGCAAACCTTTCACTTAGATTTATTAATTATTAATATTCTGCCTTTTTTGCTCTCTCTCTGTCACACACACACACACACACACACACACTTATGCTGTCCTACTTAAGAGCAGGTTGCAGGCATCATGATCCGTCACCCATAAGTTTTTAGCATGAATATACAAAGAGCCAAGATGTTCTTATACCTCAGCTCATGTCACTATCACACTCAGGAAGTTGAACACTGATGCAAAATTATTATCTAACTCTTTGATTGCCCCAGTTAAGTCTTCTTAGCTGTTTTATCCCCTAGGATATAATCAGGGATTACACATTGCATTTAGTTTTTATCTTCTTTGTCTCTTAGTTTGCAGTAGTTCCCCTGTGTTTTATTTATTTTTTTGGACTTTCATGATATTGGCAATTTTGGAGTCTAGAATGCTAAAATGCAAACACTTTGTTTTACACAGTGTCCCTTAGTTATGACTTGCTTGTTGTGTACTTATTATTAGAATCAGCTTAAGCATTTGTGAAAGAAATATTCATAAGTGCAACAAATCTGGGACTTGAATTCAGATGAGATATATTTCAGAAGCCAGCTCTTAGCTGTTATACTCCACTGCCTCACCGGAAGCTGAATTCTAGAACCATCCTTTTCCAGCTGTGGGACTCTGGACAAGGAACTTGGCTTGTCTATGATTCAGTTTCTCCATTTATAGAATGGGGGAATCATGAATGTATTCACCTCTCAGGATTATTAGGATATTTTGATGATGTATGGTTACACTCTGGCCAGCACAGATTAGGTGTTTAATAAATAGCATTTATTATTATAATTAATTGTAAAAATAAAGTTCTTGGCACCCATGGGGTGGGGTGTGTTTTGGTAAACTGGTCAATAGGCAAATTGATTAATTGGTAAATTTATCATGAAGTTAATTGGTTATTGAGAGAACTGGCATTAGGCGACATGGTCTCTTCCCCATAAAATGGTCCAGGCTGCGCAGAAAGGGAGTGAGCTTCCCATCATGGGGAGCATTCAAGGAGTCACTTGCCATGGAGGCAAGAAGAGGGAACTGCTTCACATGAGGAATTGGATGTGACTCCTTCCAGGTTTGCCCCCTGGGGGTTGGCCCACTGGGATAGCGTGTGTCCTACTGTCCTCCTTCCAGGAGCTGGTGGAGTTTTACCGGCANCACATACATGGAATCACACATTGTGTGGCCTTTTGTGTCTGGCTTCTCTCACTGAGTGTCATGTGTTCAAGGTCCATCCACGTTGTAACGAGTGTCACTGCCTCACTTTTTTTAATGTCTGCTTTTGCAATCAGTTTGATTTTTTAAAATATTGCTTTAAAGTACTTCTATTTTATTATTATTTATTTTGATGGGTGAGTTTTTTGGCTTCCCCTTTAAATTTTGTACCCAAGGTTAGTGCCTAACCCTTCTCACTCTATTTCTGTCTTGGTGACCACAGAGCTGGGCAAACAGTGGACGCTCAGCAAATGCCTATTCAGGATTTCCAAATTCCAGAGTAAAAGAAAAAATATTCTTCTATACCCATATTCTCAACACTTCTGAAACCAAATGTGTGGGGTTTTTTCTTTACACTAACATGTCTCCAGTTCTGACACCAACCAGGTGTCCTATAACTCAGTTCAATTCTGACACCATCTACCTGGAGTTAGCATCAGATCCCACAGGTTAAGGACTTATTAGTCCCCCAAGACTGACCCCCCACTTCAGACACCAATCACAAGTCTGGGCCCCTGATACTTCTGATCTGACCAGCTTTACATGTGGGGTTCCCTTAAGCCCCTCCTTGGGTTGGATAATTTGCTAACACACACTCACAGAACTCAGGAAAACATTTTACTTACTAGATCATCAGTTTATTATAAAAGGATATAAATCAGGGACAGCTAGATGGAAGAGATGAATAGGGCCAGGTATGGGGAAGGGGTGGAGCTTCCATGCTCCATCCAGGGGCACCACTCTCCAGTACCTCCAACTGTTCACCCACCAGAAGCTCTCCAAACCCCTTGCATTAGGGTTGTTGTTGTTTTTAAATAGAGGCACATTACACAGGCATGACTAATTAAATCATTGCCTATTAGTGATTAACTCAACCTCCAGCCTGTCTTTCCTCCCTGCGGAGTCCTTTATAAAGGCGCAGATGTCAGGAACACAGTGCAGGCAGGCAGTTCAGTGCAGGCTTCTCCCTGAAGTGCGGTTTGTGTGAGAGGCCTGTTTAGAAACAGCTGCTAGGCTCTGCTTTTAAATTTGAGCCCAGTTAGCTACCAGGAGCCCTTCTCAGTAGTTCTCTTCTTTTCTGGATCCACAGTGTCTAAGGGCTGTTGGACCCAGACTGTCACCAGCTTTAAAAAATCACAAGGGTGGGGAGAAAAAGATGCCTCCATGTAGCAATTTGGGAGCTCAGTATGGCAGCTCTGCGGACCTCTTTCCTTGGTGTGTCTTGGCAGGTACGCTGGCCCCATGGAACGTGCTGGAGCAGAAAGCATCCTCACCAACCGCTCAGATGGGACGTTCTTGGTGCGGCAGAGGGTGAAGGACGCGGCAGAATTTGCCATCAGCATTAAGTAACTCCTCCCTCCCTGACCCATCACCCCTTGTGACCTGGGCGCTACAGGTGCCTGGGAGGAAGGGAATGTATCGATTGTTGTGATAGCCACCTTTTATTGAGCACCTGGGGTCCTAGGTGTTTTTAAATCTTTTCTTTTTATTCCGTTCAAATGACTGACAACCCACAAAAAAAGAGATGTGCTTCCTAGGGAGGCTCCAAAAGGCATTTAGCATCCTTTAGGAAGAGGCAGAACGTCATCTGAACTCACGTCTCCTAGACCCTGTCTCTCATTCCTCTGCTGAGTGCAGCTTCTCATTCGTGGTGACTTGTTTCCTCGGTTTGGTAGTTTTGTCTTGTGAGCTTAAGTGGTGCTCCTGCTGTCGAATCATTTCCTGCCTGGGTTTGCAAAGATTTTGCATTTGTTTCTATTGATTCACCAACAGGTTAATTTATTTTTGAGGTTAAAAAAGTTTAGGTTAATTCCTTAGTTTCCCAGACTTACATAGGTGTTTTAAGTTCAAACCCCTGATAATGGAAAAAAAATAAAATAAAATGGAACAAGCATTGCTAAGAGACCCACTTAAAATACAGTTGGGAGGCGATTAGGGAAGTGGGGCCTCTGCATGTCTTGTGCCTCAGTTCTCAGAGCTGCTATTAAGTT